GCTTTTCTTGTATACCAATTTTATATTCCCCTTCATGTCTAAGTGAGCATCATCTCCTGTCTACTCTGGCATTTCATTCTTTCAACAGGCATTCACTGAACACGTGTGATGCAAGTGGAACCTCAGAACCTTGGCTCCTCCATAGGAAGTGATTGCATTGTACTCTATAGCACCCCACCAAAGAGACATCTCTGCAAAATTTTTGTAATTCGTCTCTCAGAACCATCCAAGGCACTGGCATATTTTGAGAGCTCTGTATTTTTATTTTCCTTAATTTTGTCTTTCTTGTTAGTGATAATGTAAAAATATTTTTATTGACAACATCAAAATTCTCTTTTGATGTGACAACTAATTGCCAATTTCCTCAAATAAGAATTTCATTTATAAAGATTTAATCTGTATACTGAATAAATGATTGGAGAATATGAACTATATGAAGAACATAGCATCAGGATTGGAGGAAGACCCATCAGCAACCTGTGTTCGTGTGAAGAGACAGCAGAAACCCCGTTTTTTATAAACCCCCATTAATGCTAGAGGCAGAAGTGGGCCATAACAATTCTTAGCTTAGGGCAAACACGAGTGCCCCTGTTAAGGCCTTGTCTGTCCTTGAAAAGTAAGGAATTAGAAAGGGGTTGAAGTACGGCGACTCCCAAGACGTCTCCGTTGCTCAAGCAGCTGGGGCGACGCTATGAGGAATTTGAGCAGCTCTGTTACCTCCCCAGGCGACCTGCTTGGTTCTCCGCCGAACACATGAGCAATCCTTACAGATTGCTCCTTGAGTCCTGGTTAGTAGAAGCGATCTTCGCCCCAGGAAGCCCCCAGCCCCTCACGGACGCCCCTCATGGACGCGCCTCTCCTGCGCAGATCCAGGCAGCGAGCACACACCGCGCGTCGAGTGTGTGTCACAGACTATTATTCACGTGAACCCGTTGAACCCCAGCGGCGATTTCAAGGTCTTGATATTTGGGCAGCCTTATTACCAAAAGAAAACAGCCAGAACGATCTTGAATCTGGTGAATTATCACCGTCAGGGCAAGGAGTAAAGTGCAGCGGTGACCCCTGTCCCAGAGGAGGAGGCTGGAGCCCCTCTGCAGGCTCAGGACCCTGCCCCAGATCGCGTTACCAAACTTTGAATGTACTTTTTTAACCCAGGGCGAGAGTCATGCAGAGGTTAAAGTGGAATCCCTGTCATGCTTTGATCCCTTTGGGTTAAGAATGTTTCTGTGTTAAATGTTTATTAGAATGCTTTAAATTCACGTTTGCAAATTATCGCATTCCTGTAGTGTCTTATCTGGAAGATGGGAGGGGGTGGGGCTACTGGGATTTCCAAATCCTCCCCCCCCCAGCTGCTGGCCCTTCCCTCTTATCTGCTGCCCACTCCCACTCCCACACTCCTGCTGTGCTGCTGACTGAAGGCTTCTCCGTGCCCATAAAGTAGACTGTTATGTGCCATCGAGTCGCCTGCGACCCTATGAACAACAGCCCTAAACCCTGCTCTATCTTGTGGTCAAAACCTGCTTTCCACCCTATCTCTCCCCTCCTGATCACTTGAGTTTAGGACTCTTACTGGGTCGTTCCAGGTTGCAGCAGATTCCCCAACACAGGGAAAGGAGAACTGGGGGACAGAACCTGGCTACACCACAGACTTCTCCACTCACACCACTGACTTCTCCACTCCGGTCCTTCTCACCTGACTTTCCATGAAGTTGGACTGAGACAATATGACATCCTCGGTTATTGATGGAACAGTACCTTCCTCCCTGGGTAGAAACACTTCTCTGGTCTTTGGGCTAATGTATAACTGGGATGTGGATTCCATCAGACCTCTAGACTTTCCTAACAGATGGGTCTTACCATTAAACAATGTTGTTAGGAGAGAAAAAAAAATAAAAGTAAGGAATTAACTAGTGTCTATGTGACACAAAAGGAGTAAAGGCGGGCAAAGTAGCCAGCCCGTCAAAAGCCGACCCAAGTGACTGATTCCTCAACCCACCAATCTCTCTGCCCTAACATGGGCACTCAAAAAAGGGCTATAAAAGCAAGTGGGAGGGGGAACTCGAGGCTTTTTCCCTCATCACCTTCCTGAGGAGGGAGGAAGTCTCCACATGTGGAATTAATAAACGCTCTTGACATTTTCAGACGTGTGATTGGATTTCCTTTGAGGGGCATTTCGTGGGCAGAACACATATAGTTTGTGCAAGCATACCTGTTGAAAGTGACTTGAAGTATTAACTAAAGAAGGCCAAAGATTATAGCGTTCAGTATGGATTATGCCTCAACTTAAAGAAACCATAAATTCTCACAAATGGACAAAAACCCTCACAGTGAGACAAATGGAAAAAGCAAGGGTTTCATTTTGTTGATTACACTGTCAAAGTCCATGGAAACAATAGTCAAAAAACAAATTTCATTAACTTGGCAAATCATCTGCTTAAGAGTCCTTAAACCAGGAGGAAGATTCTCATTTTTTTTTAATTGGGAAAAACATATTGGGGGTACAAGGAGTTGAGGATTGGGGGCAGAAGGGTGAGGATGGGCCAGGATGCAGTTGCAGAGCTGCACAGTTTGGTCGGTGGGGGGAGCAGGTGAAGGAAATGATGAGGGTCCAGTGGGGACCAGATGCTACAGAAGCATTTTCCAATGGTAATTAAACCAACTGTCTTATGGATTTGGGAATTGGATGCTGACTCTCTGGCTTCTTCATGTTGACCAGGGGTGTAGATGTAAATGGGGGAGGGGAGGACCCTTTATCACCTTACTGGTGGTCTTGGGTTAAAGCTGCTTGCCTTCTTGTTCTGTTAGAAGATATTTTCCTGTCATTTGCTCCCCTCTGGACTGCAATGTGTCTTCCCAGGTGGGTC